CGCAGGGGAAATGCATTACGCATTCCCATCCCTCTCGGGGGTTAAAGGGATGGGATATGTGGGACTCCCCCTCGGAGGCTGCTGCCACCGAGGTCCTACCCACTAAAACCCCTGCGGGCGTACCTAACCCGACCGTTATGGGACTCACCTGGGAACTTCGCGTCTGTAGTACTTCCAGGTGAGCCCCGGTTACCACGCAATGCGTACCTAGCCTATGTATATATACAATGGGAGAGTGATGACGCCGACACCATTCTCCCCCTAACCCGATTCCACATCTCGAGGGGACAGGTCGCCCCCGCTTTCTGTCCCATGAGGAACCCATTGAGAGTGTCGGATTTCCGACTCGTCTCTCTTTCACTTCCGTCATAATTCTGCCTAAGACAATATCGGCCATCCCGTTAGTCGGTGATGCTGTATCTCCTCCTCATGCATTTTATACGCGTGGGTTCCAAGATAGGAGCCGAGCTCATTTACTTGGAGAATTTGACCGTCCCGCTAGTCGATCCGGTCACCCACCTACTTCCTCGTGTTACAAACTGTTTCACTCTGCCCAACTGTGCCCAACATTAACTATCCGTTCGCAGTAACGACCCCCTGTCTCGCCCTTTCTGCCGCTTCCTTCTTTGTCATCAATAGAGAAGTCTCCTTCCATCATATTTTGCATCAGCATGTCGTGTCCGTCTCGTGAGTGATTTATGTTAGCTTGCAGTATGCTGTTAGCCATTAGTTTCCTTTTTAGAGATTCCTCCCTCTCCGCTATCTTCTCTCCTTTTCCTTTCCGAGTCACTACCGCGTTTTTCTTTGGGCCATTCTGCACCTACTTCCAGTGGCTGCGTGTCTATCTGGCTCTCCTTCGGATTCTCGTCTACTTCCATTTCATCCGCAATCTCCCTTGTTTCTGGTGTCCTATCTTTAACGCTGCAAGCTGCCATCGATCTTACGACGCTGCCTTCTCTTTCCTTCCTTGTGTCCTTATTATATACGTCCTTTATTGGTGTTTCCACTTCCATATCTGTGGTTTTTGCCGCCGCCTTTGGTGTCTCTATGTTTTCCCTTGTGTTAAGAGATTTTCTAAGCGGGGTAGGCTTGCAGGCGGGACCTCCCATTCTGTGGTCTGCCTTCAGTTTTCTTTCGGAGCATAATAAACATTGTGCTTTACCAACACACTCTCTGGCGAGGTGCCCCTCCTGTCCACACCTGTAGCAAGTTCTGCCCCTATCCTTTTCGTTGCGGCATTGGTTTCTCACGTGACCGAGCTCTAAACATCTATAGCATTGTACCATTCTTTCCGGTAATAGCTCCACTCGTACTTTCGTCCATCCTATGCGAATCCTTCTTTCCTTGGTAATAATTTTGGCTGCTGCCAATGGACATCGTACCCACATGGTACCTAAGCCATTTACCGCAGCCACAATTTCTCCCAGCTTTACTGTATCTCTGGGGCATTTTCCTTCTGCTACTATCGTCTGTATGATGTCATCTCTCGTCACAGATTCTTCTAAGTCTCTGATCCTGATATCCGCCATTTTTTCCGGACGCGATATTAATACATTCTCTCGCTCTCTGAATGCCTCTCGTAATTTATTCGCAAGTTCGTTGGCCTTTTCCTGGCTCTCCATTCCCGGAATTTCAAGCAGCAACGCCCCTGTTCTTGTCTTCCTTGGTCTTATTTCTTTTATGCCGATCTCGTCAATGTTGATTCTTGACTTAGCAAGTCTCATTGCTTCGGCATAGCTTGTTTCTCCACGACAGCTAATCTGTACCGCCGCTGTCCTGGGAACTCGTCTATTGCGTTCCTCTTCTTTTATTTGTCTGACTGCTTTACCTGGAGTTGTGCTCGGCGTTACTGCTTCCCCTCTATTACTCAGCTCCTTCTTTTTCGTCCTTCTACCAACCACTTTGGACCATGCCACTTCTTCCTTTTTATTGCTTGTCAATACCTTGTCTCCTTCCGCTCCGATTCTTTTACTTTTCGGTGTAATCTCTTCCTGGCGATACCTTTCCATTAGGGTTCCTCCGTTGTTCCTCTTTTTGTCGCTCATTATATTTTCACTTGGACCCTTGATAATCTGCATCTCTTTGATTATCGGTTTCTTGTGAAGTTTGGCTAATTCTTCTGATACGATTTCCCTAATTATATCTGCCAGCTCTCTCGGAGTAGCGTTGGGATTTCCTTCCGGTCTATCTTTCTTCTCTTTTATTTTTCGTTCGTTTTTATCTTCCGAATATTTCATGTCGGAACTAGTTTCCGCCATGTGTCTCTTATGCGAGGTGTATATCGCTCTTTGCACTTCCATATTTTTCTCTAAGAGCTTCCTCTTTCCGAAGAGTGTGGGTCGCCTCACTTCCGGCCAGTCCTCAGGTCTATTTAGAATCACCTTCTCTGAATCCTTTTCAGCATCCATTTGCTCCGAGTCCGAGGTGATTAGCTTCTCCCTTGCTCTAAATTTCGCAGAAGGAACCCGCCTTGGGCTTCTTTTTTCTTTCCAATATCCTTCCCTAGGACTAGGAATCTTGTCCCTTTTTTCTACTATTTCCTTTTTCAGGTTTTGCAGTTCTTTCTTAGCGGATTCTGCTTCTGCTGCCGATTGCAGCGCCTTCCTTCTTTCCATCTCGACCTCGTCTTCGAGCCTAGCCTTTAACATACTCGCTTCCCTTTTTAACGCCCTAATCTCTTCCGAACATAGTGGCCCTCTCCTTGAAGATCTCCACGATTCCCAAGGACGACGCAGCAGCCATCTTCAGGCTTTTTTGAAAGGTTCCTTTCAAGTTTCTTGATGCTCTTGATATCCTAAGGACTTCCGTGAGGCTAGCGTTTGCCTTCTCCGCCAGTTCTTCATTCGACAACTCCTCCATTTGTTCTTTTATTCCCTCTATGTTCACTCTCGCTTTCTTGAACAATTCTTGGTTGCTATACTGTCGTATTATTTTTTCCCTATCTAATTGTAGGGACTCTTCTTTGGCTTCATTATATTTAAGTATAGCTTCTCTCCTTCCTACATATTCCCCAGTTGTTCTGCTTCTTCTACTTTCCGTAGATCCTCTCCTTTCCCCTTTTTCGGGCGACGAGGCGTCCGAATCCCTCAATATGGTCGCTTTTTTCTTTCGTTTGCCGACAGTTTCGATCTCCATCTCGCTATCTGTCGAGTTGATCTCTATCGCTTCTTCTTCTATCTCCATTGCGAGCGATTCTGAGCTACCGATGTCCTTCGTCATGGATCTCGTACACCTTGTATCGGGTTTTCTAAAGAAACTTTTGTTTCCTTTCGTCCCTATTTCTTCCCTTACTATCTCCACGCGTACCTCTTGTAGCGACGTCCCTGCCACTTCCTCGTTTCTATCCTTTACTTCTTTATTTTTCTTCCTCCTTTCCTCTTCCATTGTTTTGTTTTTATTATTATCCATTTGTAGACAATCCTATTCCCCGTGTCGGCTGCGCAGTCCAGGGTTTACCCTACTAATCGCTAAATAAGCCCCCAAGTTCCCCCGGGGGAACCGCATATACCACAGGCTCGTGGAAATACATCACGTGCGCGGGGTTCCAGGCCCCTACTAATGTTGGGCTATGGTGCAAGGCCCTCCATTTTCAGGGCTCCCATGGCTCCGACACCACGGGCACCGACACGGGTGGCGCCACCCAAGGGGCCCCACGGACAGCTTGGGTGAGGTCTGGCATCTACCCCCACACCCTCCCCGCCGTGGCGACCAGCACACCTATTGATGAACGTCGTGACCTCCATCAACCGGCTATTATTACTCCACCCGGTCCTCGCTTTTATTGACGCCGTCGCGTATTCCGGGCACCTACATCGCCTCTCCTACACATACTACATCCTCCCATCACTCCGCCCGAGGAGTAGGCGGGCGCGGCAGGGAACGCCCCTAAAAGCGGTCCGCGCCACGTGACGCACATAAGGCCCCCCCGACGCACCCCCCCACCCCCCCAAAGAGCAATCGGAGTATTCAGGACTCTCGCCTGTAGTCGCGAAATCCCTCCATCCCACCCCGCAATCCGCCCCGAACGATAAGGCAGGGAGGCACGCCGAGAGTGCACCTCTAAAAGCGCACTGCGCCGCGCGGGGCACATAAGGCCCTCCCGGCGCATCCCCCCACCACCCCCCAAGAGCGAACCGAAAGGTACGGGCTCCTTCACTCATGTTCTTGCGTCCACGTGCCCCTTATTATCTATTTTTTATATCTACTTATCCTCAATATACCTTAACTCTATCCTATCGCTCTTATTTCCTATATGCGTGGATTCAATTACTTTATTCGCAGTCCATTTTTCGTGCAGGTTCACATATATCACTCGTAGCGACCAATCATCAGCGCTCTTGTGTGTCTACCCTATATCGTGCATTTCGTCTTTATTTAATACATCAAAATTGGACACACCCGTATTAATACATCTATTCGCTGTTGTTGTAACCCTTCACTTATTGCATTATCCTAGTTTATATTTTTATCTCCGGTGTCTGTATGTATATTTCCTATACCTATTATTTTACTTAATTTATTTATTTTGATTTTTATAAAATTTCTATATTTATATTGATCTACTCCTTCTTCGTAGTCACTAGGACATATCTTTCTAACCTCTCTTACCGCACTCCTAGTACTAATTATTTCTACAATATCGCTCTTATATCCTATTGGTGTAAATTCGCTTGTATTATCCGCAATCCGTTGTTCGTGTAGATTCGCGTGTGTCTTTCGCGTCGACCAATCATCAGTGCTCTTGTATATCTGCCCTATATCATGTGGGTTCCTCTTTATCTAGTGCATCAAAATTGAACACCCCCCTATTCGTGCATCTATTCGCTGTTACTATATCCCCTTACTTCGTGCGTTAAAATAATCACATTCCGTGTTTTCGCGCCGTAACCATAACCTTCAGCGCATCACGCTCTATTCTTTATGCCGAGGCGGCAACATCCTAGCACCTCGCTTGATATTTATTGCCCTGCAAGTCCAACGCTCATTCTAATATCTATTTCTTGTTTGCAGGTTATCTCCATCTTTCGGAAGGATCCTCGTTCTTTGTCCTGCCGATCCTCTACCTTCCATTCGCCGGGGTGCTACCCATCTCAAGTACTATTAGGTATTACCTATTTATATCGCACGCTTATTTAGTTACTTGTCTATCTATATGCTTTTATTTCTTACTTAAACTTAGTTTACGTTATTTCACATGCGCCTGTATCGATGGTATTATCATACAGATGTATGTTTTACTTTATTATATTTTCGCTATATCTTATTTCGCTTAGTTTTTTTATATATTAGACTCCCTACCATATGTTCGGTCGTCGTAAATAGTGATTTATTTACCTTGACAACTTGCTACTGAATATTTGTCTTTATTACTCCTTAATCAACTGTGTTTAAATCCCGATATCGTGCTATTTACCAAATTCTATTACTGCACAGCTCGACCATTCCCTCCGGACGCGAATTTTATCGTGTATGTCTAATATTTTATTATAGTAGCTATAGATTTAGCTGCACTAGTTTCATATATAAGTTCGATCACAAATAAATAACTTAGATAATAAATTGATATACTTATAAATCAGTACATCACGATTTTCTATACCATGCTTGTTTTGACACCATTTTTGATATTTACAATTCTATTTCTTATCTACATTTATATTCTTATTCTTATAGTTTATTTTATTTAATGCTGGTCGATATTGTTCCTACACAAGCTCTTCTTTACTTGCATATTAATTTCAATTTACCCCATTTAATGCTGATCGATATTGTTCCTACCCAAGCTCTTCTTTACTTGCATATTAATTTCTTTTCTCTTTCAGATTCCCAACTGTTATATGGACCGCTACCAAACCTGCATATTCGGACTCATCTACACCTCCGCACTGTCAGGAACTCGCTCCTCTACCGGGCTCCGCCGCCGCATGGCTCGGCAATCTCTTCTAAGTACGATTTTTATCATATGTGTCTAGACATTTTTATTATAGTAGTTACGGGTTTAGCTGGGCTAGATTCATACATATATTCAACGCCCTACCTAACAATATTATTCAGAGACAGGCTCTTCTCTAACTGTATGTTATTTTCTTTTCTTTTCCGGATTCCTATCTATTACAGGAGTCCCTGCCGAATTTTTAAATTAGATAACTTAGCATTCAAACGGGGATGATTCAACCCAGAAACAACCCGGTATAAGTCTCTATATACAATGCGGGCTTTTCCTTTGCTTTAAATTAATATTTCCAAATTATTACTCCTTTATATTGCCTTTATCTATATACATATCCGCTAATATGTCTATATTATTTATTTACAAATTTTATCTTATAATCCTCCTGTATCGATGGTATTATCATACCGATAAATATTTTACTTTATTATATTTTTCGCTATATCTTATTTCGCTTAGATTTTTATATATATTAAACTCCCTACCATATGATAGATCATCGTAAGTCGTGATTTATTTACCTTGACAGCTTACTACTAGACATTTATCTTTATTACTCCTTAATCAACTGTGTTTAAATCCTGATATCGTGTCATTTACCAGATTCTATTACTGCACCGCTCGACAGTCCCCTCCGAACATGAATTTTATCGTGTATGTCTAATATTTTATTATAGTAATTGTGGGTTTTGCTGTACTAGTTTCATACATAAGTTCAAACACCTTATCTATTCATTATTATTCAAATACAAATTCTGTTTTAATTATATATTATATATGTCATGCATCCCTTATACTCTAACGCTTCGCAAGCATATCCGTGCGCCTTCTCACGGTACTGTTTCTTCCCAGATCTGGGTCATGATGGCCACGCCGCACGATCATCCCCCTCCTCGCGAGATCCAAGGATCACCTATGATATGACACGCAGTCTGGCGTTTCGTTCCATTGCAATATACTCCTTCCGTATCCCTAGGTTTCAGCCGTGCGCGTTATTTCCTATGATTATTCAAATGTATTTATATTCTTATTCTTATGGTTTATTTTGTTTTCAGGTATCTGTTCGGTGGGGTGTATTCTTGCGATACGAGTTTCTCCTACTTATTTGTTCCTTGGATACGTCTGATTTACTGATGCTATATCACATGCATAGCTACCAGTCCTATGCATATACGAGAGACCCTTTTCATAACATTGAGGGCAGTACGATCTGTTGCGACATTCTCCGATATGATGCCCTGTCTCGCCACAGTTAAAACAGGTTCCCTTTCTGTCTATTTCACTGTAGCAGTTTTGTCTTACGTGTCCTGTCGCTAGGCACTTGTAACACTTTAATGGGCGCTTTTTCAGAATTTCTATTTTCGCCCATGACCAGCCTATTCTTATTTTATTCTCCGCGCATATCCTTGCAGCCATTGTGCTAGGGCATTGGATCCAAATTTGTCCCATTCCATCTCTAGCTTTCCTAATTCGTCCCACTTTGCCTGCACCAAGCTCCTGTCCGCATATCCTTACCAATGCGTCCTGGACCTCTTGCTCCGTGATTGAATCGTCTAATCCTGAGATTATAAATTCCGTCTTTTGTATTGGCCTATTGATATACACCTCTTTGTCTTTGAATACGTTTTTAAGTTCTTCCGCTAGTCTGTCTGCTTTATGTATTTGATCTTTACCCTGGATTTCAAATATTAATCCTCCCGTCACCGCTCTTCTGATATTCATATTATTAATTACATCTAAGTTTTGTATATTTATGTGATGTTTTGCTATTCTTAATGCCTCTGCGTATCCTATGCTTACGCCACAGAACATCGTAACCGCCGATGTGTTTCTCAGATTAACTCTTCTTACTCTTTCTTGATTCCTCGTGTCGTTCATATCGTATTCGTTGTTCTCGTCCTCTATATATTTATTTGTGTATATCTCCGTTCGGTCCATTCTTCTATTAGTATTTTCTGCTAAGTTTCTTTGCCTTATCCACCTACCATGCTCGTTTAAATTCGAACTGCTATTAGAGCCTCTCCTTATTTGTGTGTATCTATTTGTGTGGTTTACAAAATTATCTTCAATTCTACCTAGATTTCTATTATAATTTTTTGATTCCATTCCATCATTTTTGACTGTTGTTTCTCTAGTTCTGTATTTCTTTTTATAGTTGTACCGGTCCTTATTAAAACTCATCTTGTTTGTGCCTCCGTCCGTGGTTTCACTTTCTCCTGTATCCGAGTAAATCTTTTTTAATCCTTGCCAACCTTTGGTATCTGTAATTTTATATCTCTGGCTTGGGTTTAATGTTTTGCTCTCGGTTATTTTCGGAATATCACCAGTCTCTCCGGGTCTTTTCCTCTTACTCGCCGTTTCCCTTGGCAGATTATTCTGTTGACTCTTTATTTCTTCTATGTTATTTTCAAGTTTTTTAACCTTTTTTTTAAGTAAGTCAATCTCCTTTTCCTGATTCATAGCCACTTCTTTCCAGTATGCTTCTTCTCCTCCTGTTCTGTCAATTAATTTTTTAATCGCCTCTTTTATTTCCCTAACTTTGTTCTTTACCAGTCCTTCATCTTTTCCTTTTATATCTTTATAATTCTCATTTTCCTCCTCTATTTCATCTAGCCACTTCCAAACGTTTGTTTCTATCTCTAATAATTCCTTTTTCCTGTTACTTCCTCTTCTTTTTGGTGTTTCCTTGATGCCCAAAGCTTCATCAACTGCATTTTTTATTTTTTCGACAATATCCTCTTCTTCGGGTGGAGTAAGGCCAGTCGTGGCTCTTTCCAGGTTCTCAATAGCTTGAATCAAGGATATGGATTCACCTAGTTTGTTTGAGTCTCCATGCTGCGTTACGTCTGTATGACTTCCTTTTTTCACTGGTGTTGCAGTCTTCTCCTCTCGCCTCACAATGTCCTCCCCCCTCGGTGATCTTATTGTCTTACTACTACTTTGAAAAGGAGAGCTATCCATTTTCCTACTTAAGTTTACTTTAGCTTCTACCGAGTTTTTTCCTTTAGCCGGTATATTTTCACCTTCTATTTTCCTTTTCTTCTCCTGTTTCGGTTTGTTAGGTGAGTACATTGTTGCGAATTTTAATTAATGAGTTTAACTGTTATTCGCTTATCTAGATTTAATCCTAATTAGTCGGTTTTTCTCTACCTATACAGTTTAGTTCTTTTTATCTTCTAATCTTATATAGTTTATAATTTTGATTACGTACACCTACTCTTAATATATAGTCTTCTTTCATGTACAATTTATTTCTTACAAAGGAAAAACTATAATTATTCTTGTAGCATCGAACGAGTCCTTATGTACGTCCGGCTTTCTTTTATCCAATTTGGTCAAATTCTATTTTACCGACGTTTTTCCTGTAATCCTTCTTTACTAATGATACACCTAATTCTATGTTAGAAATTAACTTTATACTGATTGCAAAACCAGTACTACCTACCATTAGTTATATTTCCTACTTTTCGCTATACGGTTTAGTTCTTTTTATCTTCTAATCTTATGTAGTTTATAATTTTGATTACGTGCACCTATTCTTAATATATAGTTTTCTTTCGTGTACAATTTATTTCTTACAAAAGAAAAACTATAATTATTCTTGTAGCATCGAACGAATCCTTATGTACGTCCGGCTTTCTTTTATCCGATTTGGTCAAATTCTATTTCACCGACGCTTTTCCTGTAATCCTTCTCTGCTAATGATACCCCTAGTTCTATGTTAAAGATTAACTTTATACGAACTGCAGAACCAGTATTACCTACCATTAATTATATTTTCTACTTTCAGGTTTTTTATGATCGAGATCCATCACATATCCATGAGCACAAGTCCCGCCTACGCATCAGCACCTGTAAGACTTATCCATCCGTATCTACGGCCGATTCAGATCATCTTGACGCCCAATGCGATACTCTTACAAATATATTCTAGCACTGTATTTACTTTAATAATATTCTATCTTTTCTTAAATTCAATACTTGTGTACTCAGTATTATCTTTCATTTATTTCTATCTTGACTATTAGGCTACGCTATATTCTAGTCTTTTTAATATTTCTTAGTATTTTACATGTTTGTATAAAGCTCAATTCTAGGGCACTACTTGCACTCTCTGTGCTCTCTTTTCTTTATAAACCCCCAGATCATTTATAAATATATATTAATCTATCTCTGTCTTATTCCGCACATATAACGCATTTCTACTTCGCTTCTCTATTTAGGCCACTCTAGTATACATCTCTTTGTAGTTTTAATCTCGAGTTATTTACAGCGTTCTATTACTACATTATTCAGTAAATTCTTCTGAATACGAAATTTTTTAGCAATGACTTTATAAGAGCTTATCTTAAAAGTTCAAATAGTGGGTTTACTCAGTATCACTCGCGGTGTGACCTATTTTAATATAAAAAATAATCTTTTCAGATTGCTGCCACTGCTAGATTTATCAGACTCTTTTAGAAATAACACCCAGTTTGTAAGACCATATTTAATTATCCAATCTATATCTATATTACCCTAACTATATTCTTATTTTACTTAACAAGTTTGTTTTATTCAAAACTAGATTATATTCTATTAACAAATTATATTTACAGATTCCTGAGCAGCGAGGTCCACTACAATCCCTGAGCGTATATACTCAAGATATCTATTACTATCGACGCAGCCAGTGCTCGTCCGGCAGACTCCGTGTCTTATCCGAGTTCGCACTATATACACAACCACTCCTATTTAAATAACTTAACACAAACAATTATATTAGTAATGTACTATCTACTTTACAAGTTCAGTCATTTCCTCTTTAATTGTATCTTCTTATATATTTTCTTGCTTGTCTATTAAATTGTGACTTTACTTAGCTTATTTTATTATTTTATTTTTTTCCGTTTTCCAAAAGTTTTCCTTCTACTTTAACAAGATTATTGTTTCTTTCGAGTTATTACTAATTTTCACCAATTATCCAATATCTTCATTATATCACTTTATATTCTGTTTATTTATCTTTAGTTTCAAGTCTTTTTCTCTATCCTACACGTACAAGTCTTTAAGTCCTGTTCGTTCTTTCCATATTTATAACATTATCATAAATTCAACCAAGCTTTATATATTATATGTAATCATATTATCTTTTACTGTGTATTATAGTTTATTTCGATCAATACTTTACAACTGTCACTATTATTATTCTCTTTAATTCCTATATCGATTTATATCTGTTAGGCTTTACATAGAATTGACCAAGACATTCATATTATTA